TATTCAACAAAATTCCTTCTACAGGATTCTTGCCCACAATAGTAGATATGATAATCATCTGAGCTGAATTCACCCATTCCTGTCCATTTTAGTTCACTGATGCCCAGGATGTCGATGTTTATTCTTTCCATCTCCTGTTTGACCACATCCAGCTTACTAAAGGTTCATAGATCTTACATTTCAGGTTCGTTTGCAGTATTTTTCTTTGCAGCATTGGACTTTCCTTTCACTTCCACTTCCAGGCATGTCCACAGCTGAGCGTCCTTTCGGCTTTGGCCCAACCACTTCATTAGCTCTGGAGCTACTTGTACTTGTCCTCCGCTCTTCCTCAGTAGCATGTTGGACGCCTTTCGACGTGAGGGGCCCATCTTCCAGCATCATATCTTTTAGCCTTTTGTTTCTGATCATGGGGCGTTCTTGGCAAATATACTGGAGTGGCTTGCCAATTCCTACTCCAGGTGGATTGTGTTTAGTAGGAACTCTCCACTATGACCTGTCCGTCTTGGGTGTCCCTGCACGGCATAGCCCATAGCTTCTCTGAGTTACTCAAGCCCCTTCGCCACAACAAGACAGAATCCATGAAGGGCCCCCCAAAGTATACTTTATACTTTAACTGCAAAGTATAAACTGTTCACACACACTTAAAGGACAGAAAAAACCTCTGTCATCAGAGGGGGAAAGCAGAGATGCAACCTCTGCCCCCTCCCCGAGCAGCACAGCACTGTGACCTCCCCCTGAACTGCATTGACCTTCTGGCATGGCCCAGTACCCTCCCTGGCCACTACATGGAGCTGCCATGCCAGGAGAGGAGGCTGGTTGGCCTGCCATCATGAGACCAAGGGCTGTTGCACCACCAACAAGAGAGGCCTTGGTAAGTCTGAGATTCACTTTTCTTGGAACACTTCCTGGAGACAAAGATCAGCACAGTATTTGTTTGTTTGTTTATTGAAATATGTAATGAAAATTAATCCCTCTTAATCTGCACCCACACGCGCTTTCCTGGAGCTCCTTTGGGGTTGTGCACTGGCAGCTGGCTTGTTTACTTCCCATTTCAAATTAAGCCCCGCCCATCCCGAGGCACACAGAGTGAGGCTCTCGTGCAGTGGGACAGAAACTTAGAGGGAATGTTGTATACACTTAATTAAATTTAAAACTTTAGAACTGGTGGGACCACAGTGGACTTTGAAGATACGAGATATCTCAATTTTTCTACTATTGATGAAGAAATGTTCACTACAGAACACAGGTGGATAAAGACTAAAAGCTATACATTATAGCTGGCTGTAGTAGCTAGGTGCTACTTGTGGCTACCTCTCCTTGAGTGCCTTGTTGGTGATCAGAGGATTTGAAGGAGGGTTAGACATCCATTTCACAATAACTGGAGAGAATTTCCAGAATGATAATCATCTCTGGCTGTTTCTGACTTTCTTCTTAGCCCAGTACCCTCACATGGAAGCAGGATAAATCTTCTCTATTGAACTATGGAAACACAGAATTTCTCCAGAGCAGTATTGGTGGAAGCTTCTCTTCTTTATCCTTTGCAGATGCCAGGAGTTTCAGGAAAGAGTAAGGTTTTTTTTTTCTGCACAGAAAGGAAGACACAGTTTTTGTGATAAGCAGAGAATATAAGAAGAATTTCTCATACTGTTTGTCCATATACACAGATCAATAGATTCTGATAGTGATTGTTTCAATATAAGAGGAATTTCTCATACTGTTTGTCCGTATACACAGTTACTGTGAAAAGATCAATAGATTCTGATAGTGATTGTTTCTGTGAATTTCCTACAAAAGTGTCAGCCCTCAGAGACATCTTTGTGAAAACTGAGCACTGGGCAAAGTTAAATTCTATCTGCTGCATCTTTTCTTTTTGATGTTTTTGCCTATGTGGTTACTACTTCGGAATTTCTCATACTGTTTGTCCGTATACACAGTTACTGTGAAAAGATCAATAGATTCTGATAGTGATTGTTTCTGTGAATTTCCTACAAAAGTGTCAGCCCTCAGAGACATCTTTGTGAAAACTGAGCACTGGGCAAAGTTAAATTCTATCTGCTGCATCTTTTCTTTTTGATGTTTTTGCCTATGTGGTTACTACTTCTTTCACAAATATTTCTGCACCAGTAAGAGAATGCCTAAGGGTTACATCTCTTTTGGGTTGCTCTATATGGTTAGCAGTAGGGCAAGGACACCAGTAAGAGGGTTACATCTCTTTTGGCTTGCTCTATATGGTTAGCAGTAGGGCAAGGGTAGACCATACTCGGAACCTTGAAATGTACATCTTGCCTGTCTGTCAGCCTTGTTGTCACAGTGACTCATGTATGTTTTTAGATGTGTTATTGATGGGAAAGTAATTGTAAGAGAGATAGCTATTGCAGTATCAACAGAGGATGACTCTGTAGTTGCCACAGCTTTCTGTTAAAAAATAAAAGGGAAAGAAGATAGCTACAGCATCCAGTCTCACTAGCTTCTCACATAAATTCAGTGGCTGGTATGATGATGGAAGATGGAAATGGTATAACTGGAGGTGGGTAGCTTACAGGCACAAGTGACTGTATGTTCATGGTC